TGCAACTGTTTTGTATGCCTAGGGGCGCCGTTTGGCTAAATGCGGCCCTGGATACGAAGTTGAAGGTCTTAAATTAAAACTTACAATGTTTCTAAACTATTATCATTTATTTAAAACGTATAAATTGCTCAAAGGTATAAATATATTCAAGTAATAAATATGGCACATTAACACAAGAAAAACAGGATTAAAATTTGATCAACCATATACATTTAAACAGCTAACACTTAATAAAGGTATTTACAAAGTATAAATTACAAGTGATGACACATTATGCTAAAACTATTATTAACAATAAGCTTACAAAATGACACAAGAGTGTGCTTTGAGATCAGGAATTATCATATAAAAAAGCTAATAAATATACTAACACTAAAAGTATGGCAAGAAAGAACTGCCATTTTGCATGACTGAAATATAATAATATGCGGTGGTATAGTATTATTTAAACTAGTAGCAGTATACACTTTAACCCTAAAATGCTCACATCATCACACGCTATGATCATGCCTGAAAAATTTGTAATACGGACTATTTTTTTAGTTTAACAAAAAGAATGAAATTAACTGTAATAATTATTAGTAAAACTTATTAAAATAAGCAATAGTGGTATATTTAACACATTTTTTCTCATGATCAATCTATTAGGCGTTTACTTGCAAGACAAAATTTTAAAAACTAAACACACATATTGTAATTTCAGCCAGTCACTTGACTGGGACCCCACATGTGGTAGACACACCAACAGGTTTGAAATATTAAGAGGTTTCATGTATAGCAGTGTGAACACAATGTATGGTTAGGGTGCGTTCACAAAGAAAGCTCGTTACAAGTTACAAGCCCTTGCAAGCTCCAACTGGCGTGAGAAAAGTCTACATTGTATCAAGCGTGAGCGTTCACAGACAAAGCTTGTCCCGGCTAGCAAGCATTTGCTACAAGTTCTGACAAGCTTGCAAGAACGATTGTACTTGTTTTCCAGCTCTTGTTGACCAAAACAGTCAGTGACAAACAACTGTAAAGTATGGATGTCAATGAACTGATATCTCAAGTCTTTAGAAGATGGGCTATTTTGGACAAACGCCTCAAACTACATGCAATAGTTTCTTGGGGATGTAACTAAATGTGGTTAACTTCATTCTCATAAAAGTAAAAAAAACTTCACTTTGTCCAATGTCAATCGAGGAAATAGATGGTGGTATTCCACAAAATACCTCTCCCGCGGATAGCTGCATGAACACAGACTTTCATTCTACGAATTTTTTATACGTCATTTTAAAGCAAAAATAACCCTTCATCACTTGATGAAGACATTGTCTTAACAAAAACTAGCTTGAAATGCAAGCTTTTGTTGTGTACACACAACTAAATTCTCTAGCGCTTGGAGCAAGCGCTGAAAATATGTTACTTGTAACCAGCTTTCTTTGTGAACACACCCTTACAGTAACAAGATGTTGACATTATTTTGTCAATCTTCATTTCAAGTCTTCTACTACTCTTGTTTGTAAATTTAATCCAATAATTTCAAGCTACATGTCTGTGTTTGCTAGCTGTTGTATTATCAAGTCCAAAAACTAGATATAACGAATAAAAGGCTTCACAACAATTTCAAACCACTAAGCTTTATGAGGTTAATTTGCTGCTGTACAAAATCACTAAATGTACTATGATTTCAAAGAACAGATTTCTAAACATAGGCCTACACAATTATTACCCTATCCTGTTTACACTCCAAATATCAAAACAATGTGAGTAACAGGAAACATACATAGGCCCTACATGATTTAAAAAAATTTACTAGCTGTTGGTCCGTCTTACGTATGGGAATCGAGTAGCCCATTAAAACTGTATATAGTTATATTAATATGTCTATTCCTAATTCAAGCCTAGTTTAAGCAGTTCTGTAAAGAAAAATCTGCCAAGATCAATTAAAACATGTGATCATTGTTATTTTGCAAACCTTTCCTCAAGAAGTTGAGGAAAGGTTATAAAATAATTTTCATAAGCTCTCTTTTGATGACTTGTGAGCTTCGATTCGTATACAGCAAAGGTTATAGAATCTTACTTATTTCCTATAATCAATGACAAAACCACAGAGTAAATAAACTAACCTCATAGTTTTATATAATATTTTTATACTCAACCAGCTGTTAGTCAACACATATTATATTGCACTAAAACAAACTAAAGATTTTAAAGATTGCTCAAAAAATCAATTAGAACATCTAGTATTTTACTATGTATATTTAAATAATCTCTCATCCTCTTACCGAATAAATGAACGTATCAATGATTATAGCATTACACACAGTATAAACAAGTCAACCCTACGTATGTCATTTCATTTTCATCCAAATGCTGAATTTGTGTCGACAACGCTGAATGTTTACGTCGGCTGCTAGATTTTTTAAATTTGAAACTTAATTTCTAAAAAACTGAAACCCTAAACTAAAATTATGGCTTCGACATTCCCTAGCTCTCAAGATTATCTTTCTTTCAACACAAAAATCATGAAAATCCGTCAAGTGGTTGATTCAGAATCGTGAAATAAAAAAATCCTGTCACGTTTTAATATATATGATGATGATGATTGCTTATTCTAAAACTGTATTATAGTAATATTGCATGGTTATGAAGTAGTCAATGTGATGAATTACTCTGTCTAATTAGTTAAGTGGTTGCACCTTTTACCAAAATATATCCTTGCTTAGCTTGGGCAAGTAGAGTTACATTGATATCTTAAGATACACAATAAGCATTACATAGTACTAGTAGCAGCCTAGTCCCTACAGTATCACAATGGAGGTTACGTACACATGAAACTACTTTAAGACGTAAAGCTAATAATTTATACTCCTTTCGTTTTTCTACTTTTATATTGTTACACTAAATGCTGCACTGATTTTGCACAGTTTAGTAAAATATTTTAAAACAGTAAATTTTAAGTCTTAACAAACTAGGCTAAAAAAATATAATGTTACACAGAACAACCGTCGGATGATGATATTCTTCTGGAGAAGCTGTCTGCATGGCAGCGTCAGTGACAGTGGCGATTTCCCTTTAACATCTTGTGGTACAATTTCCTACAAGCGCTACAAGAGCTACCTACCTCCCTTGCTCTTTCCTCCACATGAAAACCCCCAGGAACCCGGCAAACCGGAATCAACATCGGGGCAGAGAAGCTACCAGAATTCAGTGGCTGTATTGTACAAACTCCCACAGGGCTATGAGAGATTTAGGGAAATGCTATACTTCACCGAAAGCCCAGCCTTCCACGGCCAAGGCTTTCCTCACCAGTACCATATTGGTTGCTTCATTAGCTCGGAACACCCTTCGCTACCAGAATACATCTGCAAACCCTCCTAGCTCTAAAGCCAAGAAGTCAGGCCCTCCTGTTCACTACTCCAAACCTTCATCACCTAAATTGACTCTTGAAGATTTGTTTCCTGCGAGGCCCTCTACACCTCCGAGGCCAATCTACACCTCCAAACTTAAGACATATGAAGGAAGTTAAATAGTACATAACTTTGGTTTAACAAAATTTACATTTCTTATCAATATTTTTAGACTTATGTCACATAAAGCATATTAAAATATGAATGTGTCATGGATTAAAAATGTCTGACCTACATTTCCACATGAGATTAAAACTTGATACATCAGAGCTTTGATCTGATAATTTTAGGTCCTTGTCCACAACAAAAGCTCATTGAAGACGTTGAGTTAGACAACTACATGTCAACCGGTTTCAAAGTGCACTGCTTCTAAAGGTATTGAGTAGGGATGGTCAAGTCTCAAAATTTCGGGAAATTTTAAATCTCGTTACATGAGACGAGATTTCTTTTTGGCCGAGATTTTTATCGAGACGAGAAAAAAAAAAAAATTAAAAACTCCTGCAGAAAGTCAATGCAATACCCGAAATACAGGAGCGTGTTGTAGTTGTGTTTCCTTTGCGAAGGCGTTCTTATTTAATTAATTCTTCAAATGTAAATATTACTTTAATTATTTAATAACATTTGAGAAGTTTTGTTAAGTGTTAGCAGTGTGAGGAATGTTTTATTACTATAAAAAAAAGGCAAAACAAGTAACTATTTTATCAAAATTAATATTTTATTTTATGATTTATTTTATTTTAGGATAAGTTGAACTCTATTCTAACTGATATCACTATGTTTCCTAATCGTAGGCATTTTTAATAATTTAGGCATGATTAATAAAAAAATGTTATGCTGATGTTTTTTAATAAAAGATTGTAAATATTCTTGTCTATTATCATTATTTTTGTACGTGGGTTATCCAGAAAGTAAAGAACGTTTCGTTATGACGCCGCTAGGCGCGCGCCGATCTCGTACATTTTGGTATGTGCGTACTCGGCAACTCAGTCGGCATCCAGCCGTGACAATTGGAGCATTCTAGCGCTGCCCGTTTTTTCACAATTTCAACTTAAGATGAGCGCTGCAATAAAAAATCCCGCCAGTTAAGGGGTGCGGTCAGTGATACGGTTTGTGTTGGCATTAAACTTAAAATCGATAGACATTTATCGCCAAGGGTATGAAGTTCAAGGAAAAAAACATAATGATTGAAAGTTCTGAGAAAATGGTGCATTCAGATTAAAAATGGCCGATCTGACGCTCATGAGTCATGACGAAGCGAAGGGCGGACGCCGAGCATTGTGACTGATGGAACTGGTCACTAAAGTTGATGAAACGGTTCGCAAAAACCGCCAATTCCCGATAACGGGTCTTTCGCTTTGTTGCGTGACAATTTTAAACAACAAAGTCCGTGAAAATTGAGGAAAAATTTCGGTTTTAAGTGTTTTCCAACAAAAACCGTATCACTGACCGCACCCCTTAACTGGCGGGATTTTTTATTGCAGCGCTCATCTTAAGTTGAAATTGTGAAAAAATGGGCAGCGCTAGAATGCTCCAATTGTCACGGCTGGATGCCGACTGAGTTGCCGAGTACGCACATACCAAAATGTACGAGATCGGCGCGCACCTAGCGGCGTCATAACGAAACGTTCTTTACTTTCTGGATCGCCTAAGTATTTAAACAGTCATCTAACAATGTTACAAAATCAGGTAAAAATTCCGAACGTGCATTTCCCGTTGTGTATGAGAAGGGAAATCCCGTCTCGATCTCGTCTCGAAATTTTATGAGAAATAAAAAATCTCGTCTCGAACTAAAAATCCAATCTCGTCCATCCCTAGTATATTGAGTGATGCACAGAATTAGTTGGGTCACCTTGACCTCCATCTGCTACTAGCAGTTTAGAGTCTAGACGTCATGGTGTCGTCACTGTTAATGTGTGACGAGTGAAGTTGATATCAAACACATGTTTCTTTTTTATCCGTGTTGGAGTCGTCTGAGCACTTTTGCTCCGAGTCACTGGTGATCGGAACCGAATAGTCGTGAGTTCCCAGGTTCACTCGTACACACTCGTTCTTTGAATCTATTGTGAGACCAATAGGCATGGGGCGATGTTTTCGCCTCTTGTGGAAAGGTGATGGAGGGTCAATGGTGGCGTAGAGGTGGCTGCCGTCTGACTGGTCGGAAACAGCAATGTGACAGGAGCCACAACTCTGCTTCGCTGACATACCTCGGCCACAGTCAGTGTCGACAACACTACATTCACTTGGCACCTGGACAGTGAAAATTTTGTAAAATTTGGTCTTTAACAATTGTAAGTTCAGCAAATATAAATATTCATTTGATTTTCTGATACTGATTTTGATTTTATATACAGTAGAACTTCGCTAATCCGACCTCGAATGGTCCGAATCTTCGCTTGGTCCGACCGTGCCGCCTACACAATAGGCTTCCGCTAACATAACTTCATTGTCCAAGAAAAATACCTAAAGAAATCTATAAATTGTTTTTCTTTCGTAAATGTGTTGAAATTTGTTGTATATTTAACTAGTACTGCCCATCATTTATATTCAGTAGGCTCCCAAATTATTATTTTTGAAAAATCACAATTTATTTGACAAAAATAAAATGCAAGCAAAAGAAAGAAATGTCACACAAAGCTTCAATGTCAAGCTATCTGTTTGCACTGACAATCATCTGCTCCTTAAACATCTGTCTGCTGTGTGCTTGCTATGACACATTTTGTGATTTGGTATTTGGTAACCATGACAACTTTAGTAGGTAGCCTGTGATTGGGTGATTAGTAACCATGGCAACTTATTGAATGGGTGGTTGAAGAGAAACTAATGAAAGAATAGAAAAACAAAGAGAAAGAATAAGCGATGTTTTTATGTCATTATTATCTTTATCTGTGTACTTTACGACTGATGTTATCATCTATAAGTAGACTACGATTATTTTATAGTTTTTAATGTGTAATCTAATGTTTTAATCAACATTCTTCTGACCTGAAACAGCGTAGCAGTAGCCTATGAATAGCAGTAGCTTACCGGACTTTATATTGTTCTTTTATTTACTTTGCTGTACAGTGTTTGGCAAATGGCAATTTGTTTGTTTGAGAAAGCTGTGATTTTAAACATTACAGTACATACAACCAAGGTCAATGACTTAACATAATTATCATGATTGCGCAATAGCCTACTATAGGTCGGCCTGATAGATAGCGACCTGCGCGAGGATTTTTAGTGCATGTAGCGTAAAATGGTAACATGGTAACGACGAGTAGGGTATGTTCCCCCTCTCCGCCAATGGCCGTTTTCACACTGCACGACACAGCACTGCCGTGTCGGTGTGTGTGTAAGCAGTTCCATTTGGTAACACAGGATTCCAACTAATTTCCAATTGGATTCCAGTTGTCAAAGAGCAATAAAGACATTATTATTATTAACTCCCACGACACCGGGGCGGTGACGTGCCGTTGTCAAGTTGTGCAGTGTGAAAACGGCCATGACGGGAGGGGCGCATACAGCAGCTGAGTGGGGGTAGAGCCATAGTCTGTCTCACTCCCACAGCTCGGTATTTCTCTCTCGCACCAATGCTATGAAGAGGTCGCTTTCTAAGCGGCCGACCTATAATTATATTTTGACGATGTAATGTTGGATTAACCATGGTTTCCAGTTATCCGTGGTCTGTTCAAAATACAGTTTTAATATGTTTTCATGTCAACAAATGTGTTCCTCTGATAATCCAACCTTTTTCTGTGTTCCGACCTTGCTCCCGGTCCCGGAGGTGACGAATGAATGAATGAATGAGCATATAGTTTATTCCAAAAAACATTGGCTACAATCTGTGATTATAAAACATAAAGTATATTAGACAGAGACTTTTGTCACTAAAAATACATACGAGATTTAATAAAGCCAAAATATATAACAATAAAACAAAGGAACTAGCAGACATAGGCAGTGCTACCTGTGCGTCTGCTAAGTTGCTGTCAAATAGAAAAAAGAAAAATTATTGAATTTTTGGAACGGATATAAAAAAAGACAATAGGTTGTTATTATTATTATTATTATTATTAGTTATATAAGTAAATGTATTTCCATGAACACAGTGCTGGTAAGGTAGCGCTTTATAGATTTTCGTGGTGGCCAGAAGAGAGAGAGAGAAAGACAGTGTAAAGGGGTAGTGAAGAGAGTGGAGAGTGATGAGTGGATTGTAGGGTAAAGAGTGGAGTGGAGTGGAGAGTGGTAAATTCAACTGCGGACAGTCCAAGCAAGGTCATGGGAGCGGAGTCATCAAGGGTTCATATTATATTGTTTTTGTCATACTGCAGTAAAAACAGTCGTTTTTAATGCATTCATTGAGGGTCTATAGTAGAATTTTTAGTCTTTAGGGAGTAAAAATAATTTTTAGCCTCTATGGAGTAAAAATCAGCTGTTGTCTACTCAGTTGTAAATTTCTATTGTAAACGATTGCATGTATCGAAAATATATATCGATTTGTGCTTCGTAATCATTTTAACCTACAGTCTACAGTCTCTTCCCATAGCATTTTAGCATTGCAGATACATTAATCCATTCCCAAACTCAACACTGCTCACCTTTACTACTTCCTTCACCACCCCCTACATCGTCGTGGGGCCTGTTTCCTTCCCTTTTCATAGCATTTTAGGATTGAAGATACATTAATCTAACGGCCACAGACGGTTCTCACACTGTGCTCATACTTTACTACTTCCTAAGCCACTTCCTACAACGTGGACCTGTTTCCCTCTCTTCCCATAGCATTTTAGGATTGCAGATACATTAATGTAATTGCCAAAGACAGTTCCCACACTCTGCACTACAAGCCTTACTACTTCCTTCACAATTTCCTACGTCATAGACCTGTTTCCTTCCCTTCTCATAGCATTTAAGTATTAGATACATTTATCTAACTGCTTAAACGGTTCCCCCACTCTGCACTGCCAGCCTTTACTACTTCCTTCACCACTTCCTACGTCGTGGGGCCTGTTTCCTTCCCTTCTCATAGCATTTTAGGATTGAAGATACATTAATCTAACGGCCACAGACGGTTCTCATACTTTACTACTTCCTAAGCCACTTCCTACATCGTGGACCTGTTTTCATCACTTTCCAATTTTCCATAGCATTTCAGTATTTTAGATACGTTAATCTAATTGCCACAAACATTACCCACACTCCGCACTGCTAGCCTTTACTACTTCTTTCACCATTTTCTATGTCATGGGCATGCTTCCATCCCTTCTCATAGCATTTCAGCATAGCAGATACATTAATCTAACTGCTACAAACGGTTTCCAGTTCCCACACTCCACACTTCTCACCTTACTACTTCCTTCACCTCTTCTTACGTCGCGGACCTGTTTCCCTCTCTTCTCATAGAATTTTAAGATTGTAGATACCTTAATCTAATCGCCATAAACAGTTCCCACACTCCGGACAGATCACCTTGACTACTTCATTCACCATTTCCTACGTCTCGGACCTGTTTCCCTCCCCTTCTCATAGCATTTTAGGATTGCAGATCCCTTAATTTAATCGTCAAAAACAGTTCCCACACTCCGGACAGCTCGCCTTGACTACTTCCTTCACCACTTCCTACGTCTCGGACCTGTTTCCCTCCTTTCCCATAGCATTTTAAGATTGCAGGTACCTTAATCTAATCGTCATAAAAAGTTCCCACGATTGGGACTGCTCGCCTTTACTTCCTTCACCACTTCCTACATTGCGGACCTGTTTACCTCCCTTCCCATAGCATTTTAGGATTGCAGATACCTTAATCTAATCGTCATAAACAGTTCCCACACTCCGGACAGCTTGCCTTGACTACTTCCTTCACCACTTCCTACATCGCGGACCTGTTTTCCTCCCTTACCACAGCCTTTTGCGATTGTAGATACCTTAATCTAATTGTCATAAACAGTTTCCACACTCCGGACAGCTCGCTATGACTACTTCCTTCACCACTTCCTACACCGCGGACCTATTTTCCTCCCTTCCCATAGCATTTTAGGATGGCAGATACCTTAATCTAATCGTCACAAACAGTTCCCACAGTCCGGACTGCTTGCCTTTACTACTTCCTTTACCACTTCTTACGACACGGACCTGTTTCCCTCTTCTCCCATAGCATCATAGGATTGCAAAAACCTTAATGTAATGGTCATAAACAGATCCCATACCCCGAACAGCTCGCCTTTACTACTTCCTTCACCACTTCCTACGTCGCGTTCCAATGACACCAAAAACATGACAATCGGTTCAGTAGTTTCGGAGGAGTAATTGTCACAAAAAACCTGCTTGCGTATTTAATAAGTATAGATTTAAATAGAATTAGTTTAACGAGTACTTAGGTTTGCTGTAACAGGGAGGGTAAAAAAGAGTTTTTTAATGTAAAATGTTAATAGGTACTGTAGTTTAGTAAGAAATTAATGTATTTTCCAAATTTGATTAATATATGTTCATAAATAAGCAAACTACAAGAGTTGACTTATTCTCCATAAGAATAACATGGGGATTTAAAATTACAATTTTTGGGTTCAGTAGTTTCGGAGGAGTAATTGTCACAAAAAACCTGCTTGCGTATTTAATAAGTATAGATTTAAATAGAATTAGTTTAACGAGTACTTAGGTTTGCTGTAACAGGGAGGGTAAAAAAGAGTTTTTTAATGTAAAATGTTAATAGGTACTGTAGTTTAGTAAGAAATTAATGTATTTTCCAAATTTGATTAAAATATGTTCATAAATAAGCAAACTACAAGAGTTGACTTATTCTCCATAAAAATAACATGGGGATTTAAAATTACAATTTTTGGGAATTTTCTCCGTAACCCTTAGGCGCATAATAACGCTTCAATATACAGTACTAAGTTATTTGTAAGCTCTACATAATGGTTTGGAAAGTAATTGTGAAATTTTGTGATTTTAGGGTCAAAAATGGGAAAAACCTATTTTTACCCCATAAAACCCCGTTCCCATAGTCCGATCATGCTGGTTCGTGAACTCATTCAAGTTTATCCTGCCTTACACCTTTAAACCAAATTTCATCAAAATCGGACAAAAATTACTCAAGTTATCGTGATCACGGACACACACATATATATATATATATATATATATATTAATCTATATATATATATACATATATAAAAATTTTAACAAATGGTGTTTTTGGCCTCTGGGGACATCAAAATGAAAAAGTAAATAGGTCCCGGGTCTAGGTCTTACCATGCCACCTACGGTAATAG